GAGGAGAGGAGAAGGAGGAGGAGGAGGAGGATGAGAAGGAAGAGGAGGAGGAGGAGGATGAGGAGGAGGAGGGGGAGGAGGAGGGGGAGGGGGAGGAGGATGAGGAGGTCGGAAGTCGATGATTCCCTCCCTGGTCTCCCCCCTCCCTGGTCTCCCCCCTGCCTTGGCGGCGCGCGCCAGGGGGCGGCGCGGGGGGGCCGCGCGAGGTGTCTGGCCTGAGGAGAAGGCGGGCTGCCTGCGAGAACGCAGAAGCTTTCGCAGACGAAGCCAGGAGTAAGACGAAGCCAGGACGAGGATAAATTCGGATGATGGTAAATTCGGATGATGAAAACCAATTCGGATAATGAAGATAAATCCGGATGATGATGATGATGATGATGATGCTGATGATGATGATGATGATGACGATGATGACGATGATGCTGATGATGATGCTGATGATGATGCTGATGATGCTGATGATGATGATGATGATGATAATGATGATAATGATGATGATGATGATGATGATGATGATGATGATGATGATGATGATGATGATGATGATGATGATGATGATGATGATGATGATGATGATGATATTCGGATGATATTCGGATGATAAAAATAAGTCGGCAATCCCCGAAATCTGGCGGCTCTGGAGGATGTCTCGGGTGCCGCGGCCCTCTCAGAGCGTTCTGGAACGCTCTGGAACGGATTTATCTTCGTCCCAGTCCCGTCCGAAGCCAGGAGACTTCTCAGAGCCTTCTTTGCAGCCGGGAGGGCCTCGATAAGACGCCCCCTGCTGTCCAAAAGAGGCCCCCGCCTGCTTAAGAAGAAAGCCCCCCCCATCGTCGCCCCACCCACCCACCCCTGGCGCGCGCTCCAGTCTGTCGCTGCCCCTGATCGAGATCCTGGCCGGTGCTGGGGAGACCCAAAGGTGCCGACACCGCTGCTCTCCTCAGGGGGAACGGAAGGGTAGGATAGCACAGGGCAGAGTAGGGAATCCTCTCACGTATATAGCTGGTTTCCCTGGCGCCTCCCGGCGCCGGGAGGCGCCCATGTATCGAGGAATGGGCCAGGCGGCGGGGCGGAGACCAGCTGCACGCAGCAGATCTCGCACCCCCCCCTCTCCCTATCTCCCCCTGTCGCGCGGCCCGGTCTCCGGACCACGCCCGAGGCAGGTTCTGACCAACACTTGAGGTCTGGACTACTCACGAGGCTTCTTTGTTCGTTCGTCGTGGCACGGGATGTGCCGTAATGGCACGGCTTCGTTCGTTCCATCGCTCGTTCGTACCACTCACGAGGTAGGTTCTGACCAACACTTGAGGCGCACCCAGGCGCGGCGGCGAGAGTTGACCTCCCAGGAGGCCCCCCCAAACGAGGAGCAGGAGCAGGCGAGCGAGGGGCAGCGGCGTGTGGGAAACCTCTCCCTGCCTCCAAGGCCGCGCTAAAGGCGATGTTGGTTAAATGTTTGTGACTCCGAGCTCGCGCAGAACAAATTGTGGGAAATCACGGACCACCCATTCCTGCATGTCTAACTGTGCGAACGTGTCGCGCGAAAACGACGCCGCGAATTGCAGGAGAGCACGCACCACGATGTCCTACGATTGACCTGGCCACGAACCAGTCCCACCTACAGCGCCGAAACCCACATCGCCGTTACTCCTGCATCGCCGTTCGCGCGTCTGCGGTCCTCCGCGGGGCGCGCCCAAGTACCCCTGGCCCAATAAGGTACCCCCAGCTCTTCGCTCCATGTTGGAACCCCTGGGGCCCTCTGGGCCTCGTGAGGGGTGCCCTGGAGGCCGCCCGGGCCAGCCCCGAGGATCCTGGGGGCACCTTGCCCCAGGGGCACTTCTAGCAACACCCGACCGAGCGCGTTCCACTGCTCGCAAAGTGCCTACTCGCAAACGTCCGAGAAACAAAACACATGTCTGCCTCGATGTGGTGACGTATCGTAGATCCCCCGCGGGGGGATCCAGGCCACCTGCGAGTCGTCACTCCGCGAGTATGTAGTGGCACGCGCATGTCTGGGGAAGCCCCTGCCTTCCTGGGGGCCGCGGGGGCGATGCTTCAGGAGGGGGAAAAACACACAATGAATCGTCGATCCCCCGGAAAATATGCGAAAATATGGGAAGTGGGGGGGAAGACAAAAACCCAGAAGATATAGGAAAATATAGGGGAATATTTTTATTTGTGTGTATTTATTTGTGTGTCCCAGGGCCCCTTCAAAGCTCCTCTCCGGCAGAGCCGCGCCCCGCCGCCACATGGGGGGGGGGGGGGGGCGGCGGCGCCCTCTCGCCCCCCCCCCGCTCGAGCGGTCGCCTCTCGCGCTCTCTGGGGCGCCCGAGCGGCGGCCCCCGCGACTCGCGTCGGGCACGCCCCTCGACGTGGGGACGAATCCTCGATTACGTTTGCCCATGTTTACCAGCCTCGCACGTATCCCTATCCCTGAGATTGACATGCCAAAAGGCGATGACAATCTGAGGGGTTCGCCCTCAAAAGATGAGGGAATCCCTAAGATTGGCATCGTGATGAGGAGGTGCCCAGCATAAGGATAGGGATATGTTCCAGGCCGGTAACATGTCTGCATGTGCTCTGGCCATGTTTGTCGTGATCCTTCCAGGAGCCGCCTCCGCAGGACGTGCCCGACTGGAAACCCGAGGCGCGGTGGGACCCCTCTCGTGAGGCTGCAGAGGCGCCAGCCGTTGCCAGCAGGGCAGCGCCCGAACACAAATAGCAGCAGGTGCCGATGGCCGGCGGCCTCGCTCCGCCCACCCCCGCCACACGGGTGCCCACGCCCCCCCCTCCCCCCCGCCCTGGCCATCGCTCGGACGTCCACTCCCTGTGATTTTTGTCGGTTTCGTGCGTGGCTTCTTCGCCAAATGATCAAGGATGCTCCTCGATGGTTCTCGCCGTGAAAAAAATGCACACGTCCGAGCGATGCCGAGGGCATCGTTCCCGCTCGGCCGAGGGCCGAGCAGCTCCGTGCAGGCGCTGCCCGAGGCACACACCCAGGGAGGGGGGGGGGCAGCCTCCCAGGGCGCACACTCGCGAGGGGCAGCGATTCGGGCGGGGTGGGCAGCGACCTCGCTCGGTTGGGCATCGCTCGGACGTCCATTCCCTGTGCTTTTTTGGTTTCGTGCGTGGCTTCTTCGCCAAATGATCAAGGATGCTCCTCGATGGTCCTCGCCGAACGAAAAATGCACACGTCCGGGCGATGCTTAGTCGAGTGGCCGATGCATCGCCCGCGCATCGTGGATGCAGACCGCCACAGGCATCGCCTGCACATCATCGGCACGTCGCCCTGACATCGTCGATGCAGCGCTGGTGTGTCAACCATTCGAGGTCGATGCATCCACCCCCCCATGTCAGCCCCCCTATCTCTGGCCCCCCCCAGAAGGGTGCACTCGGGGGCACTCAGTGGCGGACGATGGACGAACATCTGGGGGGACTCGGGTCGGACGGAGGGGGGAAACAGCAAAGGGGGGGATAGCGAATTTGAAGGGGCCCTGGGACACACACATAAATACACACACATAAACATATTCCCCATATTTTCCCATATTTTCTTGGTTTTTGTCTTCCCCCCCCCACTTCCCACATGTTCCAATCTTTTCTGGGGAATCGACGATTCATTGTGTCTGTGTTTTTCTGTTCCCCCTCCTGAGAAGTGGCCTGCGCAGCTGGTTTTCCTGGCACCCCCCAGCGCCCGAGGCGCCCGCGCGCATGCCCAGGAAGAAGCGCCCTGCGGCGGGGCCGCAGCCAGCGGCGCGCGGCAGATCGGGTCGGCCCGGGAGATCGGGCGCATGCCCGAAGAGAGCTGGCGGCGCGCACAACAAAGGGGCCGGCCTCCCGAGAGGGCCGCGGGGGCTTCTGCGGGGGAGCTCCTCCTGTCAGCTACAGTCGGGGCGTGGACCCAAGGAGCCCTAAAGAAGGAACGAGGCCCCTTTTTCCAATAAGTGTAACTTCGATGTCCCATCGAAGCCCTAAGCAAAACCAAAGGCGAACTGCAAAACGACTAAGGAACACCGAGCCCCTCCCCAACGAGAATGGTTCCTTCCTCAGCGCCCCGACTGTAAGACTGCTGCGAAGCCTCCGCAGTCAGAGGCCCCCTGTGCCTTTCCGAGAGGCCCCCCGCCTCCTGAGAAGGCCGCGGGGGCATTCTGCGGGGGAGCTCCTCCTGTCAGCCAAGACTGCTACGAAGCCTTCGCAGTCAGAGGCCCCCTGTGCCTTTCTGAGAGGCCCCCCGCCTCCCGAGAAGGCCGCGGGTGCTTCTGCGGGGAAGCTCCTCCTGCCAGCCAAGACTGCTCCGAAGCCTTCGCAGTCAGAGGCCCCCCGTGCCTTTCTGAGAGGCCCCCCGCCCTCTGAGGAGCCGCCCCTCTCGCACAGCCTCGTCGTGCGGGCAGCCGAGCGGCCCGGAGGACGCGGGTCGCGCTTCTGTCGCGGCGCCGTGAGACGCTCGCCTTTGGCACCAGGCGTCGGACGGGGGGGTGCGCCGTGGTCGGCACGCCCACCAGTGGGCGAAGGGGGAGGCAAGGGAGCAGCCAGGCCAGACGGCCGACCACTAGAGACCAGGGGGCGGCCAGGCAAGCCGCGCCGAGGCAAGGTGAGCCGACCAGACCGCTCTCCTTTGATTGCTGTAATTATCGCCTCTGGGCGATTCGTCTGGTGACGCCTCGGCTGGCCAGGGGCAGTGTGGGGGCAGTGATCTAATAATCTGACCTCTGGAGCCAAGCGCTCTATCCATACCGTACGCCCTCGGCATCCATAGGCGGCTACATTCGACCCTATATACCCCGCCAACCCACGATTTCTGAGGGGGGAGGCGGGGTTCACTTCGTCCGGGACCATCCGAGCGAAGTGGGGTGGTGGGGTAGGCTTCGCATGTGGCCGCCGAATCCAGAGATGGAGGTGGCAGCAGCGTGGACTGTGGAAGCTCACTGAAGCGCCGACCGACGGCCTCTGGTGGCCACGCAAAGAGACCACGCCGCTGGGGGCGGATGGGGATCGGGCGGGCCCGGTCGCCGTACGCGAGGTGGTAGGCGGGCAGGGACTGGAAGAGCTCCAGGAGCGCGTACCTTTAGATGGGGCATGTCCTCCTACAGGCGGGTTTGGGAACAATCATAAAAAAGGGGGCCAACAAAAAATAAAAACATAGCCCGAAGAGAACAGAAACTCGTCCCCACACCATTCTCTTACCTACTCTTGACTGTGCCTGCAGAGGGATATGCCCGACTTAAGCGTACCTTGGCGTGGGCGAGACGGCCCTCGCGGAGAGAGGTCCTGGCCCCCAGGGGCACCCACCCGGGCCCCTCGCCATCGCTCGGACGTCCATTCCCCGTGTTTTTGTTTCGGTTTCGTGCGTGGCTTCTTCGCCAAAAATGATCAAGGATGCTCCTCGATGGTCCTCGCCGAGAAAAAATATGCACACGTCCGAGCGATGCCAGGGCCCAGTGCGCTTCATTCTCATCACGCTGCCAATCTTAGGGATTCCCTTAGCTTTTCAGGGCGAATCCCTGAGATTGTCATCGCCTTTTGGCGTGTCCATATTAGGGATACTCCCTTTATTACGAAATCTGGAGTAGGGATACGTTCGAGGCGGGTAACTGGCCCCCAGGGGGCACTCCTCCCGAGGGCCCAGTGCGCTTCACTCGCGCCCGCTCCTCGGCGCTCCCCGGGGCGCGGGCGGCGCCCCGGGAGAGCCCGCGAGCGGCCGCGAGCACCTCCCCGCGGGGCCCCTCGCCCCCGCGGGGCTCCCCTCGCTCGCGAGTCGGGCGGGGGCGTCGGCCCAGGACACGCACTGCAGGATCTCCATGGAGAGTGCCTGCTGGCCCTCGCCTCTGCAGCTTTTGTGGTTGAAGGATCAACAAAACGGCCCTGCCCTGGGTTGCAAGCGCGCGGTCTGTAAACCTCCTGGGAGCCCGCAAAGCCTAGAGCCGCCAGGACGCGGCACATCACGCAGGGATGACCCTGTCAACCCACAGGGGTTTTAGCGCACAGCGCCTCGTAAACCAGGGTAGGGGCGTTTTTGTATGCCCCTGATTTGGGACGGCAGCTGGCCCTGGAGATACTGGAACTGCGGGGAAGCCAGAAGGTGTACCGCTACCAAGCTCCCCGGACCTCTCCCGGGGTGCGTTCGGACCAGAACTTCGAGGCGAATCCCGCGGTGGTGACGAGGGAGGCCCAGGAGGCCCGAAAAAGGGGAGAACGATGGGAGGGCAGAGGTATGGGTGCCTTTTCCTCCTCTGAGGAACGCCGTATCCCTACCGTGACCTCGCGCTCCTCCCCTCCTGCGGAGCGCCACACGGGCATCGACTCGAGCCTGCCGGCGCAGCGCATGTAGATCTCGCAGTCCAGCCTCTCCCCGATGGCGCTCTCCGGCGGGGCCCCCAGCCAGAGGTCGACGCCGCAGTCTGGCGCGGCGGCGTGCCCGGCCCCGGGCTGACGCCTGGCCGGGTCCGGGGAGGCCAGGCGTGCTGGCGCTCGCTGCGCCTTCCGAGGGGGCCAGCGGATCAGCCACGACGAGGGGAGCTGCGCTCCTTACTCCGCCGACGTAGGGCGACGAGATCTGTGCGTAGCCGCGGCGCCTGGCCAGGGACGGCGTAGACACAGCCCCTGGGCCCAGGGTGGGCCCGGCCAGGAGCAGTGGATCTGCATAGAGCTCGTCGCCCCACGATGGGGCCCCCCAGGGGGGGGAGGACCACGTCTCCCACTTGTGGCTGGTTCTCAGCACGAAGCGGTGGTTCACAGATGAGGTCCTGAGCGATGGGGTCCTGCGGCCGAGGTGCCTCAAACGGCGGAGATCCACGCTTGGCTCTCTTCCGATCCTCGGGGCCCATGCCTGCAGACCCCATCTTCAAACCACCGAAACAATGACGACACCCATACGGCCCATGCCCTTCCCTCGGTCTCGCCCATTGGGGCCTCCAAAGAAGGGGGGGGAGCCCTCGTCGCTCCGGCTGGCCCCGAAACTCTGGCCCGAGGGTTGAGGTCTGGAGAGCACCTGACTGCCTAATTACCAGACCACCCCAAGCCAACCCGAAGACCCGAACTTCGGGTTGGGGGAGGGGGGTACGGGTTTCATATGTGTTTGTTCAATATTCCCCGAACCCCCCAAACTAGAAATGGAAGGCAAATCGAAGCCTTCGGGTTGGGCTGGGGTGTTTTGGTGGGTGGTGAGCAATGGTGCCATGTAGTATCTTTTTGCTCCCCCATGCCTGGGCCGCCGGCCATCCCACGCTCACTCGCCCCCCGCTGCTCAGCCACAGCCGGCCCACTGAGACCAGAGCGCCAGCCAGCTCCCTGCTGGCCAGCTCGACGAATGCCCAGCCGTTGCCCTCGTCAATGCTGACGCTGGTGACTGGGTCGTCGGCGAACTGCTCACGGATGCCCGGCAGTGCGTGCACGGCCCTCGTCATCTCCTCACCGGCGGCACCTCGCCTGCCCCCGCATGCCTGCTTGCCCGTCTGCCCGTTTCCGCGCACGTGCAGGCGTACAGGTTGGCACATCCTGTCTATCGATGCGTCTGCTTCCGCGTCGGTTTCGGCACAAAGCGTCGGTGTCTGTGCATACGTCTGCCTCCCAGCCCATCTGCTTGACCATCTGAGATCATCCGAGTCCGCTTGTGACTCCGCCCAGTGCTCCAACTATTTGTCATAGCATAGCTGATGTATGTGTCTGTGCCTGTGCGTCCCGAGGGAGAGATGACGGAAAGGAGGAACGACGGGATGCAGCACGCGAGGAGGGGATGGAGACTGAGACTTCCTCAACAAAAACCAGGTCGCCTTCCAGGGCCATCTGAAAATTTGCCATGCCGTCTGAAACTAGCGATTTCTCTAGGGACTTCATCGGCAAAATATTAAGATCGATGCCGATGCCGCCAGAGACTGGCGATTTTGCTTGGGACTTCCTCAAGAAACATCCTCTGGCCTCTTTCGGGGTAGCCAATTTCCCTCAGGGTGCGCACGGTTCTAAACAGAACTTTCCGCTGCAGCGTTCAACGCCCTGCTGTGCAGATCCGTCGTCCAGAACACGGGCCTGTCCTGGAGTCATCTTGGGGTCGGTCGAAGATCAACGCTCGAGGGTCAATCGACGAGGGAGGGCCCAGGGTGCGGCCCCCTCGCATTATCCCGATCCCAACTTGTGAATCCAGGGGTTGGTAGAAATGGTGCCCTTTCGGCGCGGGGAGACTTGCGTTGCTTGGAGCTGGCGCATGCGGGGTTCCCCATGGTACTGCTTGAACATAGCCACGTACACGACGCACAAGCGTGACATGATTTGACGGGATGGTGCCCGTTTGGCGCGCGGGAGGCCAGCATGGTTATACTTGTCAGGTGAAGAGCGCGCATGTGGCCACACAGGCCGGATTGGGCCCAGTCCGGCGGCCCAGTTGGGCCCGGCGTGACTTGAGGCCAAGAGCAATACACCCACGAGACGAGGGTTGGAGCCAGAGGAGTGGCAGGGGAAACGAGGTACACGACGAGGGAGGCGGCGGCAGCGCAGAAGCGGGAGCGGAGGAGGCGAGGGGAGGACGGGACCACAGGGAGAGGACTGACAGAGGAAGCGGGGAGGGGAGGGAGAGAGGAGGAGGAGGAGGAGGAGAGGGAGGAGGAGCAGGAGGAGGAGCAGGAGGAGGAGGAGGAGGAGGAGGAGGAGGAGGAGGAGGAGGAGGAGGAGGAGGAGGAGGAGGGGGAGAGATGGGGAGGCGGGGGAGAGATGGGGAGGCACGAGAGTACAGCGATGAGGAGGGCCTGGCGTGCCCCTCCGTCGCCCTGCCGGCGCCCGCCGCCCGTCGCCGCCGCCGCCGCCGAGCGCGCGGACGCAAGACGATGCCGACGCCGCTCCGCCCCGGACCTCTCCGGCGGCGCGCCCCGACCGGCACCTCTCAGCACCTCGAGGCGACTCCGGGCGCGGGGCGGCCCGGGGCCCCTCGCGGCCGAGCAGCGGCAGCGGCACCTGCTCCTCCTCTGGCCGTCGTCGCCCGCCGCCGTCCGTCCTCGTCGGCCGTCGCCGTCGGCCGCCTCGGCGTCGCCGCGCGCGCGCGCCGAGCCCGCGCGCGCGCGCGCGCTCGGCCGGTCCTGCGCGAGCACGGAGGGGCGGCCGCGGAGGGCGCCCAGGCAGCCGACCCACACTGGGCGGGGCGGTCTCTCTCGCTCCCTCGCCGCGCGCAGGGGCCCCCCGCGCCCGTCGTCGTCGACGTCGGTGTCGTCGTGGTCGTCCTCCTGACTGCCTACCAGGCCACCCCCAACCCAACCCGAAGATCCCAATTTCGGGTTGGGGGGGGTTACGGGTTCCATATGTGTTTTGTTCAGTGTTCCCCGACCCCCCCCCCCCACGCTGGAATGGAGGGCAAATTGAGGCCTTCGGGTTGGGTCGGGGTGGTTTGGTGGGTGGTGACCTCCCCCTCCCGGGAAGATCCCGTAGCCGTTGTGGCGCAAGCAGTGCAGTCCTCAGGGCGGCATCAGGAGTGCCAGAGCCCGCGCGGGCGCGCCCTGCACCAGCTTTCGTCGTGCCGATGGGCCATGGAAAACGCAGAGGCATGAGCACGGCGACCTCAAGAAGAAGGCAGCATACGTAGTTTGCCATGTTGGAAGCATGAATTGGTTGTGTTGCAAGCACATGTCTACTACATCTACGTGTGCATGTGGGCTCCCATGGAAAGGTCCAGACTAAGCTACTCCGCCCGCTGCATCGGAAAACTGTTCATGGCTACCGACGCCTCCAAGAGCCACAACAGAGAAGTCAAGGACTAAGGTGTCCAGCGAAGATACGCCGCAGCGGTGCAGACAGAGTAACAACACATGCGGGGAGAAATAAATGCCCTTGAAGTCCAGCTCGGTCTCACATCAACCGACGAAGGACAGAAGGTCAAAAGGTCACCGGCTGACAATATGAAGGATAATGTGAGGACAGCTTACCTGGTCAAGTTGAAGTCAGTGGGTAAGGCCACTCAGGAACCTACAGATGTCGCATTGATCAAGCAGCGCGACGAGGCCAGAGGAAAGATCAGCAGATTGCAACGGAGACGTCGTTGCCACGATGACGGGCGATCAGCATCCAAGAAAGTTGGGAAGGCCAACGAAGATCAGACAGGCAAGGCAACCTTGGAGGAAGGCAACTCTAGTGATGAGAACGGCAATTCAATTTCTCTCACTTCACCTGCTTTATCCGGTCACTCGAAGGGTATGCAGCGCAGTGTCGGAGGAACCACCTGTTTTCCAGGCGCGCATATACAGTATTCCCACACCAGAATACAGTGTTTCGCAAACCTTGACAATGTAGTAGGTTAGTTGTAGCAATTCGGAAAGGACGAAATAGACTCCTTTTCCAGAGCTTCCGAACCAGTGAACAGAAACCACATGCAAATGTACTTGGGCAATGTGATAAGATCAGGAACTGGGAAAGTCCATCCCATAGTCAATTTTACAGCTTTCAATGGTGCTACCCTTCTTTCCTAGCTTGTCCTGCCACAGCGCGTGCCGTGCAGAAGAACACCCAACATCTGCATGATCGCGTTGAGGGGTCGGTGGGGGGGTGGCTGGATCGTGGGGAACGGGTTGGGGAGAGTGGAGCACTGCCGGGGCCCAGTTTCAGCGGAGCCAGGGGGTCAGCTGTTCACCAACAAAACGCCCGCGGCTTAAATTTCCCCGAAGCGGACATGGAGAAGAAAATCCTGCTAGGCCCGCATCCTGGATGAATACGTGCTCCCTCCTCAGTGCTCACGGATCTCCTCCCTCCACCTCTGGGAGGAGGAGGGCCGAGGCGGGTCGAGGCGGGAGCCTTCTGCGTGGAGGAATAGGGGGGCGGTGAGGGTTCAGGGGAGGGAGGCTCTTGCATGCTTCCCTGAGCTTGGGGGGGGGGGGAAGGTGAGGGTCGGGGATGAATGTTGCTGCGTGGTTGGAGGAGGAGGAGGAGGAGGAGGAGGAGGAGGAGGAGGAGGAGGAGGAGGAGGAGGAGGAGGAGGAGGAGGAGGAGGAGGCGGAGGAGGAGATTGAGGGGAGAGGAGGAGGAGAGGGGAGGCTATTGCATGCTTTCCTGAGCTGGGGGGGGGGGCGGGCACAGACCCCCGACGCCATGATGTTTCAGACACGACGACCCCTTGGGAGGTCCGGGCCCCTTCCCCGTGGCAGGACCGGCTTCTCTCATCCGGAGTCGTCCCGTGAGGGACCCTGGGGCCCGGTGAGGCTTCCCGAGGGCCGAAGGAAACATAGAAAAAAACCTCCCGTCGTGGGGGCTTAAGGGGGGGGGAGGCGAGGGTCGGGGGCAGGAGGCGTGTGCTGGTCTTCGGCCGGTTTTAAAGTTTTTGGTTGGCCCTCTTCAGGCCGCCCACCCACAAGCCTCTGGGAACCTCGGACGTCTGGGGGTCAGGATCCGAAGTCGTCGTCTTCGTCACCCTCCTCCTCCTCCTCCTGCCCCTCCTCCTCCTCCTCCTCCTCCTCCTCCTCCTTCGCCTCCTCCCTCCTGCAGTGCCACCGCGCACTCCTCACGCATGGTGCATAAGACCAAGCTCCCTCCTCCTCTCTTGACGTCAGCTTGTGCTCAACGAATCAATGGGGCTCGTGCGATTAAGAGAAACGTTTGCCTGCTCAGGCGAATCGCGGGGTGGCGCGCGCCACCCTGAACCACAACGCGGCGGCGCCGCCGACTAGCGCCGACGCCCAGCCGCCAGCGAGAAAGCGACAGGAGCAGCAGCAGCTCCTCCTCCTCCTCCTCGTCCTCCTCCTCTTCCCCCTCCCTCTCCTCCTCCTCCTCCTCCTTCTCCTCCTCCTCCTCTATCCTCCTTGTCTCCTTGTCCTCCTCCTCCTCCTCTCTCCTCCTCTCCTCCTCCTCCTCATTGTCCTCCTCCTCCTCCTCCTTCCTCACTCCTCCTCCTCCTCCTCCTCTCCTCCTCATCCTCCTCCTCCTCCCCCTCCCCCTCCCCTTTCCTCCTCCTCCTCCTCCTCCTCCTCTTCCTCCTCCTCCTCCTCCTCTGTGTCCTCCTCCTCCTCCTTCTCCTCCTCCTCCTCCTCCTTCTCCTTCTCCTCCTCCTCCTTGTCGTCGTCGTCCTCTTTCTCCTCCTCATCCTCCTCTTCTTCCTCCTCTTCCGTCTTCGCTTCCTCGTCGTGCATGCCGTTTGTCATCATCCGCGGCGCGGTGGTTCCCCAAGCTCTCCGAGTCCTGGCGCGCGTGATTCAAAGAATTGTTTCGCGCCCCGAGGGGTCCATTCATCAGCCACGGGGGGTCCATCATTTGCTAATCACAAGGTGGCATTACTCCGTTCTCGTCGCCCTTATCCCTCGTCCATGGTCCTCCTCTCCATCATCGTTCCTCCCCCATCCATCCTATTCCCCCCATCCACATGCCATACGGCTACGGCATATGAGAGTCCTTCCTGCTACTGCTCCTCCTCGGCCCCCTATTATTCATCCTTCTGCTTTGCGTTGGGGGTGACATGGCAGTGGCCGAACGCAGGCGGCAGGGAAGTTCGGCCTGGGCTCGAGGGACAGAGAGAGGCAAAGAAAGAGAGAGAAAGAGGAAGAGAGAGAGGGGCACAGGAGAAAGAGAGAGAGAGAGACCAAACAGAGAAAGAGAGAGAGAGAGAGAGAACGATAGCGAGAAAGAAAGCACACACACACACACTCATACCAACCCAGCATCTGTCCTCCCTTCACGGCGTTTGATGCCAGGAGGAGGCGGACAGGGGAAAAGAGAGAAACATGAAAATCATGTGTTGTTTTTTATGTGTCATCTGGGAGACTGTGGAGAATTCTGAGGGGCTATGGACTTCTGGACCCGTCTGCC